AGGCCTTCAAGTATGACCATTCCACTTATAGTTATTTGTTTGGCTCTCATATGGCTTTACCTAATATGTTTCTAATCATACTATAGAGACTACATACGGAAGTAGATGGCTCATATGTATTATAATGACAGAGAATAGAATTTGGAAAGATTAGCCATGTGTACATACATTATATTTACAGACATTAGTGAAGACAAGATTATAGAATATTACACAGTCGGTATGTACCACATTCATGAATTAACTTCAAGCTATGTCTTGTTCCTCATACTCCCCTCGAGCTAGAGCACAGATTTCATGTATGCCAAGCTTGTTAAATACATGCTCAACTCGGGGACCATTAAGCACTTTAGTGAGCATATATGCTAATTGACCACTAGACCTAACTAATGTTATTATAACTTCCCAAGGTTGTAACTTTTCTCGAACAAAGTGGCCACTCTCTATGTCTTGGTCCTCCCATAAAAAACAGAATTTGAAGCACTGTACATAGCTGCCTAATTATCACAGAATAGCTTCATTTGTTGAGGTTGTGTGATGCCCATCTCCTTTGAAAAATGTTTCGACCAATTTATTTTTTTTGGGTATAAATATGTGAATATCATTAATCAGATGAAGTACAAAAGCTTAGGAGAAACTCCTAGCATTTCAAAGAGACTAATTATGTGAGAAGATGGAGGAAGGAAGCCTCCATACAGTAGCCAATAAAACATTTGTCTGGGAAGACCTACACTAATGGTAGAGTGATGCCCTACCTCTCACAACCTTTCATAGCCTAGCCAACAGAAGATGAGCCTCAATCGACTTGTTTTGAAACCGTCTGCGATTGCGTTCCATCCATATGTAGTAGATAGTCACTAAGAAAGATAGCTTGAGGAGTCTCGCCTCAAATTTTTTGCCCTTGGTGGCCCTGATCATCCATTGAAGTTCTAAAATCCAACCTCTTGTAGAACGCCAAATTCCATTTTGTGCCAGAATACTACGCTATACACTGCTTGTCCAAGTGCACTCAAAGAATAAGTGGTTTCTGTCTTCTATACTAGTCATAAAAAAATTACACTTAGTATCAACTGAAGACAACCATTGTTCTATGGCTACTGCTATCGGTAGCCTATCTCTACAAACCAGCCAGCCAATAAAATTATGCTTACTAATACCACTGGTCCAAATTAATTGATACCATTCCACGGCCGGTCCCTCCTATCTAAATTCCTTGTATATCTCTTTGCAATAGTATGTTTGGCTAGAGATAATAGGTGTTAGAGCAAGTCTTAGCTTGAGAATACATCATCAACTTCAAATCATACTGCCCTTTATGTTGAGTTGCATAATTGGAGTACCTCTACATTTAATGTGATGAACTCCATAGGGATGAGGACGGGAGATTGATGAGGCTCCAAAGCAAGCGGCCCAGCAATACTTTATTCCAGAGTTTTAGATCGAGCAGGCCTAGTCCTGCCTCCTTTTTTGGTGAGCATACTACTTTCCATGCAACTTTGTGGGATCTGTGAGTTTCAGCATTTCCTGCCCATAAGAACTGCTTAATCTTCTTTTCAATCTCGTCTATAGTTTGCTTTGGGAGGAGAAACATTTGCATCCAGTAAGTGCAAATGGAAAAAAGTACTGATTTGGCCAATTGAAGTCTTCCTACGTAGCTGATATTATACATTCCCCACCCATATATTTTCTGGAATATCTTTTTCTTTAGACCCTTGCAATCCGCATGTGTGAGCCTTCATGTAACAAGTGAGACACCGAGGTATCTGATGGGCAGGGTGCCCGTGGAGAAAGGCGTGTGATCCAATATAAGGAGCTTTTCATCTTCAGACAACCCAGAGAAAAAGATATGGCATTTGTCTGGGTTAAACCTAAGTACTGTAAGAGCCGCAAAATCATCAAGTGCGTCAACAAGGCAAAGGATAGAGTTCACATCCCCATGGGCAAATAAGAACAAGTCATCAGCAAAGCATAAATGAGTAATCCTTTGCGATTTGCAACGCCAATGGAACTTAAAAGATGAAGTAGCAATTTTCCCCGTGATAATTCTATTAAGGATTTCCATAACCAGAACAAAGAGGCAGGGAGAGAGGGGGTTGCCTTGTCGTAGCCCATTGGTGCTAGCAAAATACCCAATTTGTTCACCGTTGAAGTTAAGTGAGAACCTTGGGATAGTAATGCATTGATTTATCAGATCAATCCAGTATTGAGGGGTATTAACAGCTTTCAAAACCCCGAGAACAGCATCCCATTTTACCATATCATAAGCCTTCATGAGATCGATTTTGATTGCCACCCGTTTACCTTTATTGCCTTTATGGTAGTCATGCAAAAGTTCCTAGCATAATAGGATATTCTCTGAAATCTGTCTTCCCTTGATGAAAACAGTTTGGTTAAGGCCAACAATCGAGGGGAGAATACAAGTTATTCTTTCTGCAAGTAGCTGTGATATGATTTCATATATAACGTTGCAGCATGAAATGGGTCCGTACTCCTTAAGGAAGCATGGATTTGAAACCTTCGGTACAAGAGAGATTAGTGTGGAATTTATCGATTTCAGCATTCTCCTTGAAGAGAAGAATTCCATGATAGCATCTTCTATGTCATGTCCTATGATGGGCCAAGCTTTTTTGTAGAATAAGCTATTATACCCATCTGGATCAGGAGCTTTGCAATTGTCGAAACCCTTGATAACTCCGCGAATATCTGCTTTTTGAATAAACGATGTATTGACTAGAGCACTAACACTATCATACGGGATGCGACTATGACCAGAGTTTCCAAGTAAGTGGCGGTAATAGGATATTACTGTATCCTTGAGAGCCCTCTCATTAGTGATAATAGAGCCATCATCGAGTAAAAGCTAATTAATCATGTTTTGAGCACTTCTACGCATCATGGAGGCGAAGAAAATCTTGCTATTGTTATCACCCTCTTTAAGCCATAAATTTCTAGATTTCTGATTGAGAAGGACTTCTTCATATTTGCTAAGAGCAAGGAGCTATTCTAGTTGTGCCTTTTCTTTGTTCCAAATGTTAGGGTTGAAGGGGTCCAGAACGAGCTCTCGTTGAATCCACTGTAGGGTTTCCCTAGCTTCCTTGACCTTCAAATGCAGGTCACCAAATTGAGATTTGTTCAAGAGCTTTAGTTGTTGCTTCAAAGCTTTGAGTTTCTTCATCATTGTAAACATTTTGGATCCTCTGATTTCCTGTTACCAACAAGTGTTTGCCATGTGTAAGTAGTCGGGGCTTTCGGTCCAGAAGCTGAAGAATTTGAAGGAGGGTTTTTTCCTCCTAGGAGTTGGGTCGAGATGCACTAAGCATGGGGAGTGATTAGAAACACCTGGAAGCAAAAGTTTGACCGAATAGTGATTATACCTATTCTGCCAGTCCGCATTGATCAAGACTCTATCAATTCTGCTTGCTTTTAGATTACCATCCACCCTTTTGTTAGTCCAAGTAAAGAAAGGGCCTATGGAAGGAGGTTCAATCAGTGCAAGTTCATCAATCACGGTGTTCAGCTTCTCCATACCAGAAGTCCATCGAGTGATGGAGCCAATCCTTTCGTTAGTATCTCTCGTTTCATTGAAATCCCCCATTAGTAACCAAGGTAGATTTCCAAAACTAGCAGTAGAAAAGGTTACCATGTCATGCCACAAAACTCCTGCGTTCAGTTTCATTATTACTTCCATATATAGCAGAGAGTAGAAAAGGGTCATCACCAGGTTTTGCAATGAGACAATGCATGTCTTGTGCCGAGACTTCCTTCACTGTTAAACTAAGAATGGACGACTTCCACAATATCTAGATTCTACCCAGGCTACTACTCATATAGTTGTGAGTGTAATTCCAACCTCGAAATCTACTGTTGATGACAAAATCAGCATTACCCTCCTTTATTTTATGCTCAATCAAAATAAGAATATGAGGATCTTGGGACAGAGCAAACTCCACAAGCTCCTTTTGTTTGGGGCTACAATTCAGGCCCCTTACATTCCAAGATAGGATGGTCATTGGTCAGGAGGTTCTACTGACCCGCCCCATCAAACCCAGGTAAATCAACACAGCAGCTAGAATTACTTGGGTGGTCATCTACTTCCAATACTGCAAATCTATTCCCAGAGGTCATTGAGTTGTGAGAATCTCTATTTCCCCTACGTGACCCTTTTTTCTTGCTATCGACTAGTTTGAACTCTAAAGAAGGTGAAATAGGGTGGGCAACAGCGGGAACAATCATTTGAGCGTCCGACGCATTAGGAATTGGCAGCATAGTAGAAGCTATTTCCGAAGGGACAATTGTATGAGAATCTCCATTTCCGATGGTATTTTGTGCAGTGCCTATCGGTGATTCTGGCCTCATTTTAGAAGAAGGGGCACAGTTTTTTTTTTACTTTAGGTAACCAGACGTCTTTACTAACCACAGTACAATCCTTGTTTTGACCAATTTAATTCACAAGTGCTTATAGCCATAGCTCTATACTCAGCTTCTCTATTGAAATGAGTTACAACATTCTGTTTCTTGCTCTTCCAAGAATTTAAATTTCCTCCAAATAACACAAAATAACCTATAGTAGAAATCTGATCGGACAATGTACCCACCCTATCAGCATCAACGGGACCAATCACTTGAGCATGGCCCATATCTTAGTATAACAACCCTCTCTCAGCCTCTCTCAATTGCACATTTAACATACAAAAATTCAGCTCTCTACATTCCAAAGAGTTTTAGTTGGTGAATCCAAGAATTGACTCACTACACTTACAACAAAAGATATGTCTCATCTTGTAACTCTGATATAATTCAGCTGACCAAACAGCTTGTGGTATCTTCCCAGATCAGAAAAAGGCTCCCCCTCTCCTGGTAATAACCAAACATTTGGAGCCATTGGAGCAGCAACAAGCTTCGAATCAAGTAGTCCAGTCTCCTGTAAAATATCTAGCACACGTATTTTCTGAGATATATATAGATAATACCACGTTCAGATTCAGCAATCTCAACAAATACTTCAGAGGCTCCAAATCTTTGGTTTGAAATTTTATTCTAGATGTCTTTAAGCTGAGTGAGTCCAACTATATCATGTGATGGCAATATCACCAAAATATATTACGAGAAGCGTGTGTCGCATGTCGTAATGTCAGTAGAATAGAGAATGGTTAGAATGACTGCATTTGAGACAAATTCCCAAACAACTGAACTGAGTTGGCTGAACCAAACTCATGGTGACTGATGGGGCCCATAACCCACAGGTCGCAGGATCAGAACCTCGTTTTGATACCATGTGACAATAGAGATTACGAATTGGAGAGATAAATCATGTGTGTCAATGTGAGCGCACATATCACATATAGACATGACAAACAAGGAAACACAAGTTTAAAGAAGTTACATGATCAGTATACACCATATTGACAAATGTCCCCTTATACTATGTCCTATTGCTAAAACGCATGAATCAACTCATGTAAAGAGGGCTCAACTAGAATGAGACATATATACTTACCTCTAGATAGATCAGATCAACATACACTAGCCATATTTTATGCTGCGGTCTAAATGCATGGCCTCCATCACTTTTGCTTCGAATGGTACTTGAAAATGAAAGTTTGTGTAAATTAGGGTATCATTTTAGAGTGATGTGATACCTCTTTACAAAGCATAGACTATTTATTGAGTAATGAGGTGCCTGGCTCAGTTTTGTGGAATTTAACACGTGGGTGTTTTGATATAGTTGATTACATATACAAGGCATTGATGAAATGAAATTAAAAATCAGGAAAAGCATGCATAGATTTACTGATTTGTATGATGCATTGTCCTTCACTAATGAGTGGGGAGGGGATACTGTTTTATAGGGCAAACTACAAGTATTTAATGTGTTTAGGGGATGTCTTTTCCGGGAGATGTTGATGCTTGTTTTTTTCAAAAATTCGTGATGGGTCTTCATTATCGCGTGATTTGTCTCCCCTTTTATTTTGGTTTGGAGCCAAAGAAAGCATAAATATGGGTCAGTTAGAATACATATAGTGTAGTGTTTTAAAGAGAGAGACGAGAGTTATTATGTTTGAACTTAATATGATTTTGCTGATAACTCCTGTTCCTACCGCAGCTGCATCGTTGCTATCCAAATCTCCATGTGTATGCATATGGAAGTCTTCCATATGTTGATTCAGTGGTGGCAAGAGCCTGTTCAGATTCTGTGACAAGGTAATCTTTGTTTTCCTTTGACTTTCTGTTTTGAGGGTTTGAGCTTTTTACAGCATTGTACACGACAATGAATTTTCTGCGCACCTTTCAGTGGGATCAATCCTCGGACTTCCTGCAGCTGCCATTATGGCACTTTCTCGATATTCAAAAACTGATACAGCATTGATCTATAGACTCGCCTGTCAATTTCTATATCTCGGCCAATATCAATCACAGGGAATTAAAAAACCGGCACCTGGCTAGGTATTTAACTCTGATCGAGTCTCAAGTGGAGAATATGGTCAACACGTTTGTGGGGGCCAATATTCTAATAAGGATAAAGGTATAACTCTTTCATCCTTTGCAAACTATGTATTGTGAACATGAATAGGATATGTCGCTGTTTCCGTATCTCTCCCATCTTATTACCCTTGATTTGGTTTTAAAATTTGTGAATTTATAGTCATGAAAGAGATCCTTAAGTTAAACGGTTTATTTCTTTGAGAAGGAAGGAGAACTATGTGTTGAGAGGCTCCAAAGGGGAGACTGTTCTATAGAGGATTGTCTTTAGGACACCACCAAATCCAACATGAGAAGCATGAAGTTTTGGTGCTACGGTGCAAAAAGGAAAATGAACTGTAATTGTCACTTAAAACTGTCTTTACTTCCCCTTTCTCGAAATCCTAAAATTCCTACTGGTAAGAAATTGTTGGATAGGAATAAAGCAAAAGCCGTTCTTTTGTTTCTGTGAACTCTAATAGTAGCCCAAGTCAACTATTCGTCCCTAACCCCGACGCTTGTAAAATGCCCTATGCATATTCAAGAAATGCTGATTCAATGGAAAAAAATGAGCAAAAAACATGAATACTCAAGATTTAGGGTTTGGGGTGTTGAGGAAAACTCCTATTAATTTTGATGTTGACAAAACCTTTCATGGTATTGTAAATCTGATACTTATTCTGAACTATTTTATTCCAGGTATGTATATTTATTCTGGAAGCTCAGAAGGAAGTTTTTCAAACTTTACAAGCTGTCAAAATAAGAAGTTCATATCTTACTGAAGATCCACATAATTTTAGTTCTGAGACGCAGACGCAGAAGTTATTCAGACGCAGACGCAGAACTCAGAACGAAAAATAACAGCTAATGATCTGGTATGGATTTCATAGAAGGAAAGTTTTGATTGTTTCAATCTCAATCAAATTGATTGACAATCAAATATTACGACAAGTATGCATTACAACGGATAAAGCTCTACTTATGAAAACCAAGATTCTGATTGTATGGGCGATCAGAATCAGCGGGATTCAGAATCTGTCATCCAACGGCTACTCAATCCTTTTTATACAAATCTATCCAAGGTGAAGATTGGAAGATGATCCTCTGAAAGCTGTCCAACGGCTAGTTTGGAAGTAGAGGAGTATTTAAGGATATCAACGAGCAGCAGAAGGTGGAACAGAATCAAGAATCAACTAGTCCAAAGTCTGAGCATACTCCGATCATTTCTCTTGTTTTTCTTGAGCCAAACATTAAGATCTTGAGGGATACTTTGTAAGAGTGATTGTGTGAGATAGAGGTCCTATCATACACAAGAGTTCTGTCACTCAAAAACTGTAATTCCTCTTGATTACATAGTAAAATCCAGTCGGTAGGCTGTCAATGTGGGAGAGTGGACGTAGGCTTGCTATAAGCCGAACCACTATAAATTTGTGTGCAGTTTTTCTATCCCTTATCTCTTACTTTACATACTACACATCAAGAGCACTGTCTATATAAACTGTTTTGAATCTGAATTTTATTCAGACTCAACTGTGTTCATTCATTTCCGCTTAAATTATTAAAAATTATTTAAGATCATCTATTCACCCCCTCTAGGTGATCCTTGCTAGCTACATCAATTGGTATCAGAGCAGGTTGCTCGTTTATTGAAGTGTTTTACTTCTGAGCTAACGATCTATATGGCTAGCTTGAGTGCTCCAGGTCTCATTAAAGGACAAAGCAACAACATACCACCATATTTCGATGGCAAGGAATATAGTGTCTGGAAGAATAAGATGAAGGCATTTATAAAGTCAATTGATCACATGCAATGGGATGTCATCATCAAAGGAGTCAAACCAAAATCTTCTGATTCAAAAGAAAAGGCAGACTGAAGCAAAGCAGCAGATCCTCCATTATCTCAAATTGAGATATCTAAAAGAGAAGCTTTAGATTCCAAAGCAATTTATTCTTTCTATTATGCCTTATCACCTATTGAATATAAAAAAATTGCTTCTTGTGAATCAGCTAAGGATATCTGGGATACTCTCTACACTACTTATGAAGGAATAGATCGAGCCAAGGAAACTCAAATCAATCTATTGCTTGGTCAATATGAAGCCTTCAAAATGAAGCCTAAAGAATCAATTGCTGATATGTATGACAGGTTTGCTGACATAGTAAACGGTCTTGCGTATCAAGGACAACTAGTCTCAGACGCAATGAAAGTCAACAAACTACTGAGAGGACTTACAAAGCAGTGGGATAATATCAAAACATCTCTTCGAGAGACACAAAGGATCATGCCTCTATCAGTGAATGAGTTAATTGGAACTCTTCAATCATATGAGACCGAGCAACGGAATGAGGAGAATGAATCCAGAGGTAAAAAATCAATTGCATTAAAAACTAACATTGATTCTGATGCAGATTCTGAAGATGAAGATGTTGATGATGAAGAGCTGGCCCTCTTCATAAAGAAGTATAAGAAGATGAAAATCAAAGGAAGAAACCTCAAAGGGAAGAAGCCTTTTGAGAAGAAGAAGGCTCTCGATGAAATAGAAAAATCAAAAGAGGTAATCTGTTTTCACTGTAGGAAACGTGGACATATCAAGCCAAATTGTCCATTTCAAAAGAAGACCAAATTTGAGAAAGCAAAGAAGGCCTTAAAAGCGAAAACCAGGTGATACGAGTGTGAAGACAAGATGAAGATATTTCAAACTTCTGTCTGATGGCTAAGTCAGACTCAGACTCAGATTCAGATTCAGATCCTAAAGTTGAGGTTGAGGTAAAGCATTCTGAAATGCCTATTGAAGTGTCAAATAACATTGATGAATTATGCTTTGAATTTAAGACTGCTCTTAAAAGAATATCTTTTTTGAAAAAGGAAAATTCATCACTGAGGCAACATGATGTTTCACAAAAAGAAAAAATCGATTTCCTTCAAAAAGAATTTCATCAAGTCAAGGAAAGTCGAGATTTTCTTTCCAAAGAAAATGCTATTATGAAAAAGGAAGTTTCAGAAATTACTTTCAAGTTTTCAAAACGTTCAGAAACCTTGAAGCATATCCTTTATGTACAAATTCCTTACTACAACAAATCTGGTCTCGGATTTGTGAAGGAAAGTGATAGCTTAATTGATTTTCCAAAAGTCAAGGAGAGATTAAGACAAAGACCTCCTCGACAAGCTTATAAAAATAATTTCAAAAGGCATTTTGTCAAACCTGTTGGCCGAAGTGCTCTCAAGTGCTCAAAATGTGGAGATCCACAACATTTTGAGAATGAATGTCCTAAGGTCTGGAGACCGATTCGAAGAGACTTTGTTAAGACAGCCTATACTAATGCTCAAGGACCCAAACAAATTTGGGTACTAAAGAAAACTTGAGATGTTGTGATTTTTGCAGGTTGCCATAAAGAGAAAAAGAAAGTGGTACCTAGACAGTGGATGTTCTAGACACATGACAGGGGATCCAAACATATTTGTTGAACTACAAAGCCTGAATGGTGAAAAAGTTTCCTTTGGAGGAAATAACAAAGGAAAAATAGTTGGCAAATGAACGGTTGAAATTGGAGAACTCACAATCAATGATGTGTCATTGGTAAAGGGACTCAACTACAACCTGATAAGCATAAGTCAACTATGTGATACAGGTTTTAGAATCAATTTTCAAGAAGATACATGCTCAGGAACAAGCAAAGATTCTTCTCAAACATTCACAGGAAGAAGACATGGCAGTATTTATCTTCTTGATGTCAATCCAAACTCCACTCATTGCTTAATCTCAATCAAAGAGGATGAAGATCTATGGCACAGAAGATTGGGGCATATCAGTATGAAACAGATCTCAAAAATCTCAAACAAGAAATTGGTTCAAGGTCTGCCAGATTTGAAATACAAGAAAACAGAGTTATGCAATGCCTGCACTCTAGGAAAACAAGTAAGAAGCTCTTTTAAATCTATACATCATGTTTCTATTAATCGTACTTTGCAGCTTCTTCATATGGATCTATTTGGACCAACCAGAACACAAAGTATTGGTGGTAAGAAATATTGTTTAGTTATTATTGATGACTTCACTAGATTCACTTGGGTGTTCTTCCTTACTCATAAAAATGAAGCATTTTTATATTTTTCAAAATTTGCAAAAAGAGTTCAGAATGAAAAGGGCTATACCATTTCCTGCATTAAAACTGATCATGGGGGAGAATTTGAAAATCAAAGTTTTTCAGATTTTTGTGAGGAAAATGGCTTTCAACACAAATTTTCGACTCCCTATACACCAGAACAAAATGGTGTTGTAGAGAGGAAAAATCGTTCTTTGCAAGAAATGGCAAGAACTCTGTTGATTGAAAGTAAGATTCCTTTTCATTTCTGGGCAGATGCAGTTTTTACAGCATGTTATATAATTAATAGAGCTTTTCTCAGACCCATTCTTGAGAAAACCCCCTATGAGCTTTACAAAGGTAGAAAGGCCAATATTTCATATTTTCGTGTGTTTGGTTGTAAATGCTTTATTCTTAAAAATCCAAATGACTGCACTGGTAAGTTTGATGAGAAAGCAGATGAAGGATTTTTCCTTGGATATTCTACTACAAGTAAAGCATACAGAGTTTTCAACAAGAATTCTCAGACTGTGGAAGAAACAATGAATGTAAGGTTTGATGACAATATTCAGACTCACAAAGATGAATCTGAACCATCTCTCAACATTCAAGAGTTATCCGAAGCTCAACAAGAATCTCCAAAGATCGTAGAATCTGTAGAAGAAGGAAAAGAAGATACAATTCAGACTCAATCAGAACCTTCAGAGTCTGATGATATTCAGAAGGAAAAATTTGACAGAAACTGAAAACATAAATCCAGTCATCCGAAGAACCTCATAATTGGAGAAATAGAAGATGGCATCAAAACTAGATCTAAACACAAGGAGAACATCAGTAACTTGGCATTGATATCAGAAATAGAACCAAAAGAAGTTGGTTAAGCATTATCAGATGAAAGCTGGATCGAAGCTATGCAGGAGGAACTTCAGCAGTTTAGAATCAATAAAGTATGGGAACTTGTGCCAAGACCCAAAAATTATCCAGTAATTGGAACAAAATGGGCATTCAGAAACAAACTGGATGACAAAGGGAAAGTCACAAGAAACAAAGCAAGACTGGTAGCAAAAGGCTATTCTCAAGAAGAAGGCATAGATTATGATGAAACATATGCACCAGTTGCAAGGTTAGAAGCCATTAGGCTACTATTAG